CTTAATACATTGTTATTTGTTTTATATAATTTCCTTACTTCGTTGATTTGGCATTTTTCTGCTATTAAAGAGATATACGACATGCAGGTTTAATGTTGTATTGTATTGAATGTCATATGTAAATTAAATTTTCAATACTTTTTCTAGGACTTGAAGATACTTCGTGACTCGCTTACCAATATAGTGGATGACTACAGGGTGCCGTTTCCAAAATTCAATCATTTGGACTTCTTGTTGGCCAAAGACGCACCTACGCTGGTGTATGAAAAAGTGCTAGAAATCGTGAAAAACAAAGTGAATTAATAACGAATTATAATGCCGGAAAATTGTAAATTTCGACAAAAAATAGTTTCACTTACAATATTTTTAGCCTAAAATACGGTCGCCTTAAAATATCTAATACGCGCGTTTAAATTATTATTTTTACCATTATCACAATAAAACCGGCGATATAAACAGAGTGTGAAACCTAATATTAACCTAATATCTTCCTATATTAAAAAACCGACAAAGTTTGCGTCGAAGTAAAGTATCGTATTGTTGAATGTTCAATGCCTTTTATGTTGTTGCGATATAAAAAATTTTGACGTCATCAAATTCTTAATCGTGTGATAATAAACATATTTCAAAATCCATACAATAAGAAAAGAGATGTTAATTATTGCTCCACCAAACAAGACCTTAACTAGTGAAATGTTACTACAGAGATCGCAATCCGCGATTTTCCTAAACTGATTAACACACGCATACAAATTGTATAATAGTTTTATTTTTAATATTCAATTTTAATTTGAATATTATTATGTAAAAAAATCAGTTTGAGTTGTTTCAATTTGCATGCAAAAGAAATAAGTCCGCGAAATGCAAACATTAAAAAAAATGAAATATGCTTACAATTGCGCAAATGGAAATAAAATATGTGAAATTTTATGGCACCGTAATTAAACACATATATAGTACAATTGTATTTTACTTCTAGCTTAATCGTAAGTATATTAAAATATATTTCATATATATATATGCTCTTTAGTACATGCTTGAAACTTGATAACTAAGAACGTTT